ATTTCAATTTGTTAAAATGAGAGTCTAGCTAGCTTGGCTGTGTTTGTGGTGACTTATCTCATCTTCAAGCTTTTGTTGTGAGCTCTTATCATCCTGTTGTCTTATCATATATTATATACTTTCTTTCGGGTTTTCATCTTCATAGCTATCTCTTGAAATAAAATATACTGTTTGACATTACAGTATTCAACATTTTGATTAATTACATGTCTCGTTTGGTTAACCGTCATCTATGGTTGAGTTCAATAAAAATTCATTTTATTAAGAGTTTTTAAATAATCTTGCACACGAACAAAATCCAGAAACTTTTCTTATTAACACAAAGAACATAAAATAATATGCGAATCAAACAACAAACAAAGAAATATCAAGGCTATGATTTGTCTTCAGTTGACAACTCTTTTTTTTTTTTGTCACGCTTCAATTTGACAACTCCAAACATAAAACAAACATATAATCACACACATTACATTTCATTCCTTTTAGCATAGAGTAACGTCTTGTGTGATGCAAAATATACAAATTAACGATTTATTTCTTGTTAAATCCGGAAAGAAACAATAATTAGCCAATATTTTATCCTTTTTTTTTCATTTATATCATTATTTTTAATAAGTTACCGGTTATAGCTTTATCTCTAAAAAGTAACATATCTTGCAAATGTAAATTGAGTATCTTAATATATTAAAAAATTTAGTCATTGATTTGAATATTAATATTTATGAAAAATCCAAACCACTTAAAGATTAACATCTGGCTAATAATATCTAATGAAAATCTACAAGTCTTTATTTTGAAATACTATTCCTTTAACACTCCTATTTTTCTATATTTCTTTTGATGTTTAGATATTAAATGGAGATGCTCTTAGATGATCATCTCGATATATATAGGCGTTATTCTTGGGTTCACCCCGTAAGGTGGATCTATAGGTTCACCATCCAATAGTATTTCACTATTTCATATTTGATATCTTTTAAAAAAAAGAAACAAAATCTTGTTAAGTTATATTATGTTTTTAAAAATAAAAATACAAAAAAAAATAATAATAATTAATAAAAACGAAAATGATCTTTTCTTAATGAAAATATTTTAACACTAAACCCTAAACTCTAATCCTAAACCCTAAACCCCTGGGTAAATCATAAACCTTTGGATAACTTTTATAAGAAAAATGTTCTTTAAAAAAAATATTTTAACACTAAACCATAAAATCTAATCCTAAACCCTAAATCCTTGGGTAAATCATAAACACTAAACCTTAAACTATAATCCTAAACCCTAAACCCTTGGGTAAATCATAAACATTAAATTTTTAAAACATTACAAGATTTATCTAAAGGTTTATGATTTAGCCATGGATTTAGGGTTTAGGATTATAGTTTAGGGTATAGTGTTAAAATATTTTCTTTAAAAAAATTTATTTTCATTTTTATTAATTTTGTATTTATTTATTTATTTTGTATTTTTATTTTAAAAAACATAATATAAGATTTTGTTTCCTTTTTAAAAAGATATCAAATATGAAATAGTCAAATCCTATTGGATGGTGAACCCAAAAATAAGTCTATATATTGTAGCTAAGTAGGTTGGAGGATTCTCTAGATATCTCTTAGTCCCATCATCGGCTAATAAAGCGATCATGAATAGAGCAGAAAATTCAGCTTCTATCCCAATAGATCTCATTCTTGAGATACTCTCAAGATTGCCTTCAAAATCAGTAGGGAGGTTTCACTGCGTGTCAAAGCTATGGCGATCCATGCTTAGTGGTCCGTATTTCACAGAGTTGTACTTGACTAAGTCATATGCTCGACCACGTCTCTTATTCGCTGTCGACAGAGTTGGTGAGGAACTACAACACTTCTACTCGTCGCCACAGCCTCATATTCCTTATGACAACAAGTCTTCTCTTGTAGTAGCCGCCGATTATCATATGACGCTCCCTTCAGAACGTTGTAACTATGCATCTGGTTTGATATGTTTCCATGGATGGAAGAATGCAATGACTGTGATATGTAATCCAATCACGGGACAGTATGCGAAGTTACCTAAAATGATCATGTACGATCCGCCAAAAACCCTTTTAGGGTTTGATCCAGTTGAAAAGCAATTCAAGGTATTGCTACAAGGTCATTCTTCTTATTGTTTTCAAAGGGGTCGTGACCAAATTCTGACATTAGGAGTTTCAAAACTTGAGTGGAGGAGTAACATCGTTTGTCCTAGATACTACAGATATTTGTCTGAAGGAATATGCATCAATGGAGTAATATATTACGTAGCTTATAACAAAGAGTTCATAAAAGTGATAATTTGTTTTGATGTTAGGCATGAGGAGTTCAAGGTTATTAAAGCCGAATACCTTAATGATCCAGCAACTCCTATATTGATAAACTATAAGGATAAATTAGGTGGGATTATTTGGAATCCTAATGAATATTGGGCCATTAATCTGTGTTTGTGGGTTTTACATGATGTCGAGAAACAAGAATGGTCCAGTTATGTCTACTCTTTGCCTGAAATTGATGTCTTTAAACTCCACAATTTTACCATTTCTGGAATGACCACTAGAGGTGAATTTGTTTTCTCCATGATGTTTACAACTAAACCGTTTTATGTTTTCTACTTCAATCCTGAAAAGAACACTCTCGAAAGAGTTGAAATCCAAGGCTTTGGTGAGGATCTCAGTAGAGTTAAAGTCTTTGTAGACCATGTGGAGGATTTTAAACTTTTAAGATGAGAGACTAGCTAATTTCGTTGTGTTGTTGTGACTTTTCTCATCTTCAAGGCTTTTGTTGTGAGCTCTTATCATTTTGTTGGCTTATCATATATTATATACTTCCTTTCGGGTTTTCATCTATCATGCTCTCACTTGAAAACAAAAATAATGTTATTCACCATTCTGATTACACATCTCGTTTGGTTGATCGGCATCTATGGTTGAGTTCAATAGAAAATTCATTTTATTAAGAGTTTTTGAATTATCTTGCACACAAACAAAAGCCGAAGCTTTTTCTTATTAACAGAAAGAACATAAAATAATATGCAAATCAAACAACAAACAAAGAAATATCAAAGCTAAGATTTGTCTTCATTTGACAACTCCAAAGTCTTATCTTTGGATCATCATGACTCTAATACTTCTATGTATGCTAAAACATAATACAAACATATAATCACACGCATTACATTTCATTCCTTTTAGCAAAGAGTAACGTCTTGTGTAATGCAAAAATATACAAATGTCATAAGATTTGATCATCCATGCCCACATGTCACAAATCCTGACTATTTCTTAGGCTGGCCTTGACCAGTCGCCGAGCCACCTTTACCTGCTCCAGCAGCACCGCTAGCTCCACCACCACCACCACCACCGGCTGGAGCAGCTCCGGCTTCAACCGTGGTAACTTTAAACCTTTTATCTCTCAACTCTGTTGGTCCCAAATTGACACTTAGACTCCTCTGTATAGTCTTTGACTTTGTAAGGGGACGAGAATCTTTCTTGAACTGAGACATAGCGTCACCGATCTTGTTAAAGAAACCAAGAAACTCGTCTTTTGCTCCACCTGGAAACATCTTCTTCAGAAGATGAAGCTGTCCCACGTAAAGCTCTCTCATATACTCTAGTAACATCAAGACTCTCATGTCCATCCTCGACCCTTCTTCATCATCATAGTTAACATCATCATGACGTTCTTCATAAACTCTATGGTATAAATCTCCCATGTCACTGTATTGTCTCTTCATGCTCCCACTTCTTAGCCTCGTGGATTCAGAATCATCGAACAATCCGAAGAAGAGACTGTTCTTGCAGCTCTTGTCTTCTTCGTCTTCTGTGGAATGATAACTCAAAGAGTTGATGCTAAGATTATGTTTCTTCCCCATAGACATAAGTATTCACCAATCACAATAAAAGTAGATTCTTCTCAAGTCTTGTGAGCAGCGTATCTTTGTGTTTGTTTTTCTTTGTTTAGAATGTGTTCAAGATCTGAGGAGGGATCTTTAGATATAAAAAAGATGAAAGTATGATAGATTTTTTAGTCAAAAAAATAAGTATGATAGAATTGGAAGCAAGCTTGTTCTAGACTTGTCAACACGACGTTGGCACGACTTCTTCCAACGTTGACTAGATATGGGTCCAAAGCATTTGATTTTGTGTTTGGTTTTTAGCCAATAGGAAGTGACAGTTGTATCTATTTGTGCCACGTTGTCACAATTCTTGAATGTTTCTTGGGAGAAGCTGCATAAACATACACTACAGTTTCATCATAATCTCGAAGACGTGTAGAGGAAGTTGGAGGCTATATTAATTTATATATTTTAAGTAGATTTCATAATGCTGGAGGCTTATCTACTTTTGTTTATGGATTATATAAGTTCAGGAGAGCGATGTTTGCACGATAATTCTAACTTGTATAACTAAACTATATTGTTATGTAGCTTTTGTTCGTAACTAAACATAAATTTTAATTGTAATTTTAAAACTATGATTTTAATTATTTCTGGACTATTCTTACAATTTCAATAGTTTATATTTTGTACTTTATTTATTTGCAAACAAAATGTAACAACTGATGTTGCAATGTATTTCCAATGGAAGACCATATTTTCAAATTTTTAAAATTTCAAAATTCAAATCGTTAAAAGTACTGTAACTATTCTATTTTGTTATCAATAACTCAAATATCAAAATACTCTTTATTCTCCTTATTCTAGAAAGCAATATGCGTGAGAAAGTCTTATACTTTCTGGACACACCTTTGTGGACTAAAACCAAATAAAGAATTGTCGGTTCTCCAATAACGAAATGCCTTTGGTATGCCTTTGATTATACATTCTTCTAACTTTAAAATACATACATATCAAACTTTATTATATATTTTCAAAATACAAATCAAACTTTTAAAAAACTATATAATATGAGAGCTCTATTCGTTAATTTGTGGGGTCAGAGGAGCCAAAAAAAAGAAAGGACAAAAGAACATAATGCGCATTATCGCTCGTGTTACATGGAGAGGTTGGCTCCTCCTACCAATAATAAAAAGAGAAACTGGACCGACCAAAATCAATATCTTTATCAGTTCAGTGCTTTGTCCAAATCACAAAGTATTCAAAATTCTAAGTCTGAACAAAATTCACGTAAAGTTATAAAGGCACTAAGACAAAACCGCATACGTATCCTTTGCCTACTTACCATTGAAAACTAAAAGAGAATCTTACGTTTTTATTTCTTCTTCTTGTGCTGTAAACAAACAATAGCTTTGTCTTCAGGCAAAGCAAAGACTTGAGAAGATGGTTCAGAGGAAGACATGTCAAGCAACCGTGTCTTATAATAATCTCCAACCTGAAACTCGGTTTGGTCAAGAACATGTCAAGAGCCTTGGACCAGAGATGATGATGATGAAGAAGCGAACCAAACCTAAAAGGAAGGTTGTAGACAGTCCTGTTTCTCAATCAGGTAAGCCACAGTTAACACCAAAGAAACATGATCTTGTTGTTGTTAAAGGGACATGTATGTCTCCTAACTACATGAAGGGAACCTCTAGCTCTGAAGCAAGGAAGGAGAACAAGAGTAGACTTAATCTTACAAAGAATCAGAAGAACCAAACCGGTCTGAAACATGATTCACCTCATGGAGTTAAGAAAGAGAGAAGTATCAAGAAGCCTAGTTCGAGGATGGTTAGGGGTTTGACAAAGGCTCCAAGTTTCAAGAGATGTGCACAGAGAGCTACTTGCTCCTCGACTTTGAAAGACTCCAAGTTTCCAGAGTATCTGATGCTTCACCATGATGGAACTGATGATGAAGCAGTTAGTGGAACCTCTGTTCTGAAAGTCTGTCCTTACACGTATTGTTCACTCAACGGCCATCTTCACAAGCAGTATCCTCCACTGAAAAGCTTTATATCCTCTAGGAGACGGAGTTTGAAGTCTCAAAAGAGTGTCAAAACAGAAGCTTCTAAAGAAGGTTTTGTGGAGATGTATGTAGAGGAGAAGAAAGAGTATGAGGTTGATGTTGTTACTCAAATCTCAGAAGCTTTCTCTGAAGGAGCACCTCGTTCTGAAACCGATTCTGATAATTACTCAGACACTGCAGAGATGGTGAAGTTATCAGAAAGTGATGATGACATGGAGTTAAAAGAATCTGATATGGAGAAGCCTTTTGAGGATGACTCTGTGAAAGAGATGGTGAAGACTTCAGAAGGTGAAAATGGAACTGAATCAAGACAATCTGATTTGGAGGAGAGTCTAGTTAATGACTCGGTGAAAGAGACCCAGGAGACTTCTTGTGAGGTCAATGATGACTCTAACAGTGCAGACATGGTGAGGTTTCTAGAAAGTGATCATGACTTGGATGAGACTCTATTAGATGACTCTGTGAAAGAGATCCAAGAAAACTCAGAAGTTATTGATGCTGGTGATGAAACACTAAAGGATAATAAAGCTGAAGATCACAAAGAGGAGCTTAAAGACCAAACTGAAGAAACCACAAAGGTTCCATATAACCGTAAACCAAAGCCCTGCAATCAAGAAGAGTCAGATAGCACCAATTCTTGGACTATCACCAAAGGCAAGAAACCTGTGGCAGAAACAGAGGATTTGAAGGAGTTCAATCCAAGAGAACCCAATTACCTTCCACTTGTTGCAGATGCGGATACAGAAAAGGTTGACCTCAAGCATCAAGACATAGATGAGAGGAGAAACTCAGAGGACTGGATGTTTGATTACGCTCTGCAGCGTGCCGTTACCAAACTTTCATCAGCAAGGAAGAAGAAAGTTGCATTGCTCGTTGAGGCTTTTGAAACCGTGAAACCTGTTATGCCACATGGTAGAGAACCTGCACCGGTTTTAAGTTATGGAAGACACCTTCAAACCTGCAATTAACAAAAGGTAATCAGCAGAATCTCTTACAAACTCAGCTTATGAATCAGATGTGTTGCAAGTTATGGTTATAAAAAACTAAAATGGTTTCTATGTGTGGTAGTAATATGAATGATATGATTCTCCTTAATCTGTGAGGAGGACTTAGTGTGTGCGCTTGCTTTGAGACTAATGTATGAGACAATCTTATGTATTTCTCTAGTTGAAACAGAGCATTAATCGAATGCTGTTGTTGTTGGTTGTTATAAAACATTTGACTATTGTTTACAGACTCGAACCAGAGGATTTTGATAGTTCTGTTACCTATAATAACCATAACCATAACCATTAGTAAGATCACAAAAGTATGCGAGTCTAAAACAAGAAACCTTGGAGGCTAGGATTAACCAATATACACTTGAGCTGTGCAGACAAGAGAATACTAAATCAATAAGCTAAAGTAGACTCCTAAACACAAAAACCAGAACAGAGAACATGAATCTAGACAGATAACTCAATATAACCAATTATAGCTTCTCAATTATCATGCAGATATCTTCTGGTACATTTGCATCCAAACTACCACAAATATCTAATACGACAAAAACAACAAAGTGATGACTCAGTACAAAAATTTCTCTGGAAAACTGAATCGTAAAATAAGCAATAGCAGCAGCCAACAAGCAGAACCCAAGATCTCAAAATGAAGATTAAAAAAAAAACTGTTGCAAAAGGCACCCAACATTGCATAAATCATATTCTTAAGATAGTAATAATTAAGTACATATATTTTTCATAACTAACTACAAGTCTACAAGAAGTGCATTGTAGAGAAATAAACTCAACCAAAGATGTCCTCTCGATCTCCCTCAGCCATCTCAACATCCTCCATGTTGCTGAACTCCAGGAAATGAGTGGGTCGATGCTCCACATCAAAGTACTCCTTCGGGTTACCAAGTTTGACGCTGCACCTCATGTCCACCGTATGCTTGGCTCCCATAAAATTATAGTTCCAAGATCCGTTTTCCGGAACCATATAAAACCCAAGAAAACAATCACTCAACAGCATCTGAACCTTCTCATAATGTCTAGGAACGTAACCGTAAGGATCACTATTCCCTGTGTCCTTGTTGAGCCGTCCCCACTCATATCCACTTTGTGTCAACTTATAAGCCGTCAAAGAGCATGACCCCGGAGTGAAACTACACGTCATGATGATACATTTTTCTCCATCCCACTGCTTATTATTCTTCTCCATAATCCGTGAATGAGAGATAACATCGTGCGGTGAAAGTTGTGGGAGCTCGTTAGGCTGCGTGTGCAACCATCCCAACGGCTCAAGATCGTTTAATAAATCATTCTCAGGGAGAGACGACGGTAGGTGAACAACATGGGAGCTTCCCCGCTGCGGCACCATCACAATGCAACGTATCTCCTTCACTTGAGGATTACCTGGAGCGCTGATACCATACAAGAATCCACCGATTTGAGTTCGAAGATCCGCTATGCATATGAACTTCTTCAGAATGTTCTTTGGCATGATGTATGTGTATCCTGACTCCTTTATATCATCTGAGTTCACGTAGATGTGGTTGACTCTAAGGTAGAGGTTGGTTGCTGATATTGCACGCACACGCCAATCCGTCTTGGAACTAAATGCAGCTTGCTCGTAAGGGGTTACGGTTGAGACAATAAGCTCATCACCATGAACATTTGTCGTTCTGGTTGTAACTGCATCACTCTGTCTCGCTTGTTTCTCAATCTCAGCTATCTGTTGCCTCTGTTGAGAAGGTGGAGTGATCTCAGCTCCTAGAATAACATCTCTAATCTCCGATTGCGTCAGCGCCGACGTGTTAACATTATTCTTCTTCGCGTAGTCGAAAAGGATAACATCTTTTAATGCTGCCTCCACCTTCATCCATTGCTCATCACTGAGTGAAGGCCACATGTGATGCGCCTCAGTGACAACAGTCTTGTCTGGCTTCAACAACATCTTAGCCTTGTCGTGATTCACATGTAGCGCACGTAGGATCAGAACTAGTCTCGAAAACGCTGTATAAGAAGAAACACTCTTCAACCAATCATCATAGATATTAAACAAAACCATCTTCGGCTCTGTAGCCTTCAGAATCATATCACCAAGCTTCTCTATCTTGAGACAAGCCTGGAACGGAAGCTGCAGCTCGCTTCCCTTGATAACAATATTAGGAAAATCAAGCAAGTGAACCTCGAGAGGATCAAGCATTCCTTTACGAGTAACAATCATTTGCCTCGGCTGTTCTTCAACAGGGAGAGACCTCACAAGCGCAGCAACCTCTTCAGCAGTTTTCCACTTCGCTAACTGACTAAGCCGCTTCTGACCAGCCCAAACACTTGTGTGAATAACCTTGAGAAACAGCTGTCCTGTCCTCGGATTGAAAATAAAAACCGCACCATTGATAGGCTTAGTTGTTAAATTCCCTTCAAAAGTCTTGTGAATTGTCACACGGTAGACATTAGTATCATCCACAAACCATTTAATCTGATCGTTGAACATTTCACCATAGTTTTGAGATGATAAATTTGGCTCCGTTGGCTCAGACGAGTATAACTGCAAACCTTTCCTTATCCTATCCCTCAACGCGTATAGAGCAGGATTCGACTTCATAATCTTGTCCATCGCTTGAGTGACAAGAGGCTTTGAACCAGTAAACCAATTACCATATGCGGAATACAAGTTATACGCGAGATCAATCCCAATCACTACACCGGTTGGAGATGGATAGATAGACATGTTATCCGTTGTGTATTCCATAAATTTAGCCCTGGTGTAACGCTCAATATCATGAGAGTCATAATCTCCCCAACGAAGTTGTACATCGATCCAATACTTGTTACTCGCTCTCTGATCAAACAAGTCTCTAGACTCTGCGAGGAGACTAGGTTTCGACATTGGCCAGTTATGAGCAGCGAATAGAAGAACATCAGCGCAAGAGCTGTTCATTTTATAACTCTTCCTTGGATGAATAGTGTCTTTCTGAACAGTTTCTATCTCCAAAGCTTCCAACTCCTTGTCCAAAACTTGGCAAAGATCCATCACAACACTCTCGTGTATCTTTTGCCATAAATGTGCACGGAATATCTGAATCAGAGATATCTTAAGCGTAGGAATCTTCCCATGCATGAATATTCCTGTAAGATCCAACTGCACTTGGAAACCTAAATAAACATTCGCTCTATTAATCGTTGGCGACCACCAAAGCGTGAATCTTCTGTTTGGAATCTGGTTTAGACCAGACCTTTGCGCATTTGTCAGCTTCTTGTGTTTCATAGACTCCTCAAAACCAGATGCCTTCTCCCAGAAAAGACCCTCCCACGTTGGGAAATAAGTCCCTTTAAATAACGTATGCTCAAGAATACCTTCAACGCCTCCAAGTGCTTGGATAACATCAGTTCGGTAATTATTCAAGTTCCATAACTTCCCATCGTGTCTCTGATGTGTCCACCAGAAAGGGTTTTGTTTAAGGATTTGGTACTGCTTAAACTCTGTCCGAACTCTCCAACCTTTATCATACGCTAACGTGTGTCTATCTTTTTGAAACAGAGTGTTTATACGTGGGATTCCTCTATCCCAAGAGTCTTCAAGATCTTCAAGCGTGAGACGTCTGTTTTGGGATTGTGCTTCTTGCCTCTTTAAAGCGTACTCTGCCCATACACGTTGTGAATCGATAAACTCGCTTTCCCATGGCTGAATGTAACGGTAGAGATTTGGTATAAGTTGATCTTCCTCATGGCTCATCCCACTTCTAAAGTGTGTTACACCAACATCTGTCTGCTTGCTGTGTTTAAGATCGCTCTGTGGGATTAGAATATGACCCATTGACAACATTCCTAGACCACCAAGCTCCTTTGGAGCGTAGAAGATAACAGGAGGAAACCGAGTAGGCATCTTTGAGTTTAGCCCTATCTTAATCCTCGTTTGGATCTTGTTCTCACACTTGACTAAAAGATCCAAAAGCTCTTGCGTATGCACCGTAGCTTCACGGAAGTAAGTCATGAGACCAATCAAAGCCGTGTTCCACTTGTTTACAATCTTGACAAAAGTGGTTGATCCTGAAGACATGAGAATCTGCCTCACACGATTCTCAAACACTTTCATGTGTTCATCATCAACACGGAGGAAAGCAGTTGCTGTCCTCTCTTTCGTCTCTTCATTCTGCAGATTCCACACACCATCTCTTGCATTGCTTTGCGTCGTCATCATCATCCTGATTCTCGGAAGTAACCGAACTTCAAACCCACACATGCTGAATAAAAGGTTAGGATTATCCTTACTATATACAGAAACAAAACCATTCTCCCACTCCAAAGTTGTAATGCTCCTAGGTAAACGATTCTTCATACCCCAAAACACACTTCTACCGAGATTAACATCATGTTTCATCAGCCTCATCCTCGCATCTCTAGGCCAACACTTTTTATTATTGTACCCCACCATGTTTTCATTGTTTGGATCAGGATGCTCCGTTAGATACCGCTGAATAAGATCTTTAGCCTCTTCGTGTGTAAACCTAAACACTATATGAACTTTATCTACATACCGAGAATAAAGTCTTATAGGGTGACGTGTCTCCACTTTTGTATCCCAAAACGTCGTAAACTCGTTAGGCCTCTCCGGCGGTCCAGCGATTTCACTAGCTCGAGTCAAACCAAGAAGTAGAAGATCAAGCGACAGTCCGTAAAACTGAACAACAAACGACGCAAACTGAATCCCCCTGATGAGACCGTACGTGTTAGTATGACTCATGTCTTTATAAGCCAAAACCACGTTATTCTTGGCACACATATAATCCGCGATATTATGGTCAAGAATCAAACGTAGAAGCCTATTCAGCATAGTCAAATCAATCTTCTCGAAAAACTTTTCAAACTTGGTCTGAAGCATCACCACACACTGTCCATCACCAGTGTCCCAAACCCCTTGCAAATTATTAACACCTTGACACCATTTATAAACCAGAAGCGGTGGCGGCTCTGAGTCTGCTGGCTTGATCCAATTCGGAAACAAACGACGCTTATCACCTTCGTACCACAAGTACTGATCAAGATACGCGTCGGTGATCTTCTCCAGAGGATCAATCTCGTAAACTGGTATCAAGTAGCTGTAGAGATCCATAAACTGTATCCCAACCTCTTTCATGGTACGTTGCGTGAGAAGGAGACGTTTGATACGTGTCAAAGCCTCATGAGGATTGTCGTAAGCTTGTTCGATTAAACCAAGCTCCTCTCTCTGCTGCTGGTTCAACCTCACACCACCAACGTATGATTCCTTAAGTCTCTCAAGCGCTAGGATCAACAGCTTCGTGTCGTGTTTGTAAGACAAAGGAGGAAACGGAATTGGAGAAAACTTCCTTGACTCCAACCAATGAAACGTCGTCGTGTGAATCGACACCGCTTCTTCTGAACTAATATAAGGACCATCTTTAAGATAATTATGCTGCCGTTCTTGTTCTGCTTTTAACCAAAGACGAGTTAACCTCCCCATGTTTTTCTTACAAACAGTTTTATCAACCGTCGCTCCTCTTCTGATACGCTCACGGTTGTAATGAGAAACGTTAGTCCACCAATCAGCTTTAGACTTAACGTAACGGAGAATCATATTCTCAACCGGTACAGGTAAACCAGGAACCTTCCAAGGGATATTCGCTTTCCAACATCTCCATGCTTCACTAAGATGTTGCAACACCGTCTTCGCTTTGTTTCGCCTGATACCTTCAGGCATTGCGTCAAGAACGTCATGCATGACGGCTGCTCGAAGCTCCAAATCAAAATGGCTCTCAACTCTCTGCTTTGTGACCGTCTTAGCAACTCCTTGACGCCCTTCGAACTGACGACTTAGGAGATTCCCTAACCACCGTTCAAGAAGAGGAATGATTCCTCGTAGGAAAAACAACCAAACTCTCCACATCGGTGCCCAAAACCCACACCCGGGTCCTTTACCAACAGGACCGGTGTTGAACCGGTAATAAATCAAATGCTTTAGGTCTTTGCACATCCTAATCTGCCTCATGAGTCTGTACTTGTACCGGTACATACCGGTTAACTGACCAACGTGGGAGAATATATACTGAAGCCCATCAGCTAACTGGAATGCGTCAACGTTACCGAGTCTGAACTGTACGTTTGCGTCGACGACAAGTTTCGTCAACCGGAGAATCTCGCGGCAGAGATGAAAAGCGTTACCGAAACGTGACTTTTTTCTCTCTTTGGTGGTTAAAGTCTTCACAGGCTTCAGGTTGAAGTTGTAGTCAAGATGCAAGTAGTTCAAACCCTTCCTGTGAATCAGAAGGTTCAACATGTTGTGTCCTTGGCGACAGACTTGTAGACCCGCTTCGACCCAGTCTAGTTCGGTGCTTTGGAAAAACTTTGTAGCTGCAAGAGAGCGGAATAAATGCTTCTTGTTCTGAGATTTTGGTGGCTTGTGGTGTGACTCGTTCAACACGTAGCATTTCAAAAGCTTTTGGTAACTAACACGAACTTTAACTGGATAAGATTGAGGACAATGCTCCTTGAACCATTCTGATACTAGTGGGATGTCTTCGGACCGTCGTGTCTTACCAGATCTCGTATTGAAAGGTCGTGGAGCAAACAATAAAGAGATTCCAGCTGATGTAGTGTCTGTGTATAGTTCTGTGTCTTTTAACAAAGGCTCAACTCCTTCAGGTAATGTAAACTCATCCTCCTCATCATCATCATCCTTCTTTTCCCGCCTTATTGGGTGAATCAACGGATCATAATAAAAAGCAGGAAAATCAGGATCTTCAGTCTTTATATACATAACCATAGGGCTATGATAAACACAGAGTTTAACCTTCCTCGGCCTGTTATTATACAAATGCGGAAAAGCTACTCTGTATTCAGTTCTCAAAGGAGAGCGAATAATAAGTTTAGTGATGTCATTAAACTCATTCCAATCCTCATCACCTTCCTCCATATCACGGTACAGAGGCTCAAACTTAGGACCGCCAGGTATACACATGTTCAAAGCCTTCGCCGTGGCGAAGGCTTGCTTGTCAAACAAGTAAAAGTAGTTTCTGTCAATTATATTATCAGACAGCAACTGTCCCGCAAGGCGGTGAAGCGTCTCCATGATCGGAAGCGAGAGATTCCATCTCCGGTAACTAGGACCGTTGATGAGTTTCGTTTTCACCAACGGCTTGTGGTCGTAAAACCAAGAGTAAACAGCACAATCCTCCTCCTCGTCAAGCTCCATCTGAATCGGCTCTAGAGGTTCCACGTCTAGCAAATTCTCTCCATAGTCAAGAGGAGGCTCCTCGTCATCAAACGGAGGAAACCTCATTCTTTTAAAGTGACGACGATCTCTCTTCTCCCTCCTCATCATGATCCACATGGTTCCCCATTGAGCCATGTAGAGAGGTTCAACAACCCATGGAATCTCGTTAACGAATGTGATAGCTCCAGTGATGTGGTACAAAACCTTCACGTCACGGACCTGTTCCCAAGGCATAGGCATATTCTCGAGGAGCTTGAAGACGGCGTGTGGGACGAATTTGAGAGCTCCTAGGTATACGCGTTTGTCGTGGTTGAACTTCTTTGATGATGACATGTCGTCGTGGTCTTTGATTATCTTTCTGACGTGTTCGGGTGGCATGTCTTCCTTCTGTGTTGGCACGTATCCGAACTTCCTCTTGTTGTCTCCGTAGCGTTTGGAGTTTAGTTGCGTCCACTTACGGGCCTTCTCTTCGGGATTAGTAGCATCGTTGTTGCTCGACATTGCTTAGGGTTTTTAAATCCAAACAAACCAGAACTTGGTGAGGCTAATCGAGTAATGGAAACTCCTAAAACTTTTTTTTTAGGTTGTGTCGTTTTTTTTTGCTTTATCAGCGGAAACGAGTAGTCGTTTATATAGAAAACTATGAGGCGGTGTCGCTTAGGCGGTTGTTCAAAACTATTGGGCCTTTGCGTATGATAATTGGGCTTTTGCTTATGATAATTATGGGAAGTGGCTTTTGTTACATCAGAATGATTCTAATTAGCAAATTGCATATCTTTTCTTTGTATAAATAGCAGTGTCCATGTGCGGAGGAAGCACATGGTTAATAAATATAGAGCAAGTTTAAGATAAATATTTGGAGTCTAAGTCCTATCTATGACTCATACTAAATTTTATTAGAAGTTTGAAACAGTGTTTAGCTATATAGTTCATAACTTCAATTAATGGTGTGTTTTACACTTGCCATGATGACATAACACGTTAACAAAGTTTGAGACTCCTGACCTGACCTCATTGCAAAGAAACTGGACCGAGTATTCATATATGAGGACTGGGTTACGCTCCTTATCCTCAGAGCTTAGTGAACTTCACGGCTCGGGAAATTTCTGATCATTCACCTGCTCTAGTAACCATGCAATGCCCCTCCACCAATCGCTGGGTCAAAGTCATTCAAATTCTTCAACTATCCGTGAATGGGAGACATCGCGTCCATCCTGCTGGTATCTCTCTGGTCTGAGTAAAAAGCATAAAATCTGAGAAGTGTTCTTCAAGAAACTCAACAAAAACAACTAGTCAGATATTCAGAAAAGAGCTGCTGCTGAAGTCTATGAAACTCTTAAGGAACTGCAATCCTAATTTCTTGGCAGAGAAATCGTGTAATAAGAAATGGCGGCATTTAAGAGAGGTGGAAGAAGCATTCTTTCACCAAAAATCAAGAATTCAAAGGTTGCAACTAAAATACTGGATTCAATAGGGGTTTCTTCCTATGAGGCCTTCCCCTATGCACTAAAAAGCTCTCTCATTGCTTAACTGTGAGCCTCTCCTGCAGAGAAGAAAAAAAAGAAAAAAAACATTGGCATCAGGAAAGTTAGACACTTATCATTTGCTGGAAGACTTGAGCTTCTAAGCTCAGTGATCTCTCTGGAATTATTAATTTCGCTTTTATCCTACCAAAGAAGCGTGTTCAACAAATAAACTCAAAATGCTTAGGTATATTCTTCTGTTTTGTAAAACTAGTCCCCATATAGTCTCCCTCCCTGTAATATAGGAAGATTCAGAAGATAGCTATATATATATAATCAACCGTAACATGTTTATGTTGTAAACTAAACTCTTCTGTTCATTCAATCAATCAAGAGATGCCAATGATAAGTGTCTTCTGTTCATTCAATCAATCAAGAGATGCCAATGATAAGTGTCTTCTGTTCTGGTGGGCTTCCTTGGTCCGTTAACAATCAACCGTAACATACTTATGTTGTAAACTAAACTCTTGCCTCTTTTTAATTTAGGATATGCACCAAAGCTAAAAAAAAAAAACGCAGCTCTCAAATTTTGTTTTGTTTGTGTATATTTAGAGGAACAACAAAAATTATGTATACATTTCATGTCATATCTCTTAAAAGTAACACGAAACCAAGGAGGTTAAAATATATACACTTGAGTATGTCTATAGACACACTAAAGTCAATAAGCTAAAGTCAACTGCTAATACACAAAACACCAATACCTATTATAACTAGCAACTCAGTCGTTGGTGATCTTGTTATAAGATGTGAGGGATAACACCTCCACCAGCAAATAGTTCATTTAATGAGATTGATTCTTTTCACTTTCAGATCTTTGCTGGCGTTTCCAGCTAACTCTCCCATGTGCTGAAACTCTTGCCTTAAGTTGACTGGGATTACGACCCCACTGGCAACTGAAACTCAAGAAAACAAAATCAACAAAGAAACTCGGAGCACAAAGGCAAGCTTCTCAATTATCAGACAGATATCATCTAGTAAATTTAGATCCAAAAAAATACAAAAAAACAATAAATAAGTGATGTCTCGGTCAAAAATTTTCCTGAAAAATTGAATAGTAAACTAAGCATAGCAGCAGCGAGAAAGTAAGCAAAACTCAAGATCTCGAAATAAAGACAAAAAAACAAAAGCATAAATAACATTGCATAAATCAATACTCTAGAAGAAGTGCATCGTAGAGAAATAAAAGTTTGGGTTATATATGTTTGTTATATAACCCTACAAAAAAAAAAGGTAAGCAAGCAAGCAAACTATAACTTTTAATTCATAGAAAAAGAGAAACCAAATTTAAAAACTTACAACAATGTTAAACAAGTGAGGGTGAAGTAATATCAGCTCCTAGAATAATATCTCTGATCTCCGCTTGCGTCAGATCCGATGCCTTCACGTTCTTCTTCTCTGCGTAGTCAGAAACGATAACATCTCTTAGTGCTACTTCCACCTTCATCCATTCATCATCACTGAGTGTAGGCCATACATGATGCGCCTCAGTGACAACAGACTCGTCAGGCTTCAACAACATCTTAGCCTTGTCCTTATCCACATCAAGCGCACGTAAGATCAGAACGAGTCTCGTAAAGGCAGTAAACGCAGAAATATTCTCCAACCAATCATCATAGATATTGAACAAAACCATCTCTGATTCCGTCGCCTTGGAAACCACGTCACCAAGTTTCTCAACCTTAAGGCAAGCGTGGAACGGAAGCTTCAGCTCGCTTCCCCTGATAAGTATGTTAGGGATATCCAGCAAGTGAACCTCGAGTGGATCCAACATTCCTTCACGAGTAACAATGATTTGATCCGGCTCTTCTAGAGCATGGCGAGTCCTCACAAGTGCACCAACCTCTTCAGCAGTTTTCCACTTCGCCACCTGACCGCCGAGGAGTCTCTGACCGGTCCAAACACTTGCATGGATAACCTTGAAGAATAGCTGACCAGTTTTTGGATTGAGAATAAAAACTGCACCGTTGGTCGTATATGTTAATTTTCCCCCATGCATATTGTGAACTATGACACGGTAGACATTGGTATCATCAACAAACCATGTGATTTTATTGGTGAATATTTCTTCATAGTTTTGAGTTGACAAATATGGCTCCATCAATTCATCGGTACCAGGAGGAGAGTATAAGAGCGCAGCATCATTGTTGCTCGACGACATGGCTAGAGGGTTTTCAAATCCAAAAGTGCAAAACCCTAGAGTCTAGATCGATCGCGAAGAACTTAGTGAAGCTAAACGGAAACTCTAAAACTATCTTTCAGTTGAGTCGTTTATTTTTCTTTATGAGAAGAAACGAGTACTAGTGCTAGTTATATACAAATCTATTAGGCGGTTTACTTAGGCGGTATGAGTTATTGGGCCTTTGCTTATGATAATTGTGATATAAATTATTTGTTAAATTACTTTTCCTTTGTCCTATTGGTTCTACAATAATAACGAGAGAAATCAAAAGTAATGTTCACTAAGTAATACAGATACGTGTTTTGATTAAAATTTTAATTTCATTAAAAAAAGTAAAATAAAAAAACATTTTTATTGCAGTTGCAGGATTTTTACTTATATTATATGAAACTTATTTTAGAAATAAGAATTTGTTTTTTCACATAATTTTTGGTTATTATTTATTTTTCAATAATTACGGTGCATAAAAAAAATACTAGCAACTTTATTTAAAAGACTAGAGAAAAAGAGTCAGATCTGAAAATTCAGATCAAACCTAACCTGAAGAAATATGAATTAGAATAAAATCCAGAGAATTTGAAAATTAAATCAAATCAATCGAGTCGAGGACAACGTCATATATTAATGTTTTTGTTGTCATTGTAGGATCTCCGAATCTTTTTGTTCGTATTTATTATTATAGAATTTGATTTATTCATCTTTAAAGTAATTTTAAACGTTTTAAAAACTAATTTTAAACTTTTTATAAACTAATTTTTAACTCAACAAAATTCAATTCTAAACTCTTTTCTCACATCTCCAGAAAAATACTTTAAAGACTTGAGAAACCAATTTGAACCAGCCCTTCAAAAACTAATTCTGAACATTTCATAAACTAATTTTGTATCCTTCAGAAACCAATTATGAACCCTTTAGAAAATGTTTCTAATATTTTCAGAAAAATACTATTAACTCTTCAGAAACCAATTCTGAACCCTTTAGAAAAATATTTTGAACTCTTCAGAAACCAATTCTGAATTCTTCTAAAATCAGTTTTGAACCCTTTAAAAAATATTATAAACCCTTCATAAATCAATTTTAAACCCTTCAGAAATCAATTTTGAATCCTTTAGAAATCAATTTTGAACCCTTCAAAGATATATTTTTAACCTTTCATAAAATTTTTCTAACTCTTTCAAAAAATATTATGAATTCTTCAAAAACCAATTGTAAGTCTTTCATAAAAATATTCTTAACTCTTTAAAAACAATTTCCAAAACATTCATAAACCAATTCTGACAACTCTTTAGAAAAATATTTTGAAACATTCACAAAATCAAATTCCGAACTCATTAGAAACTAATTATGAATCCTTCAGAAATTAATTATGAACTCGTCATAAATCTATTTTCCTTTGAAAATGTTTTTAACCACTTCAGAAAATACTAAATATATTTTCACATCTTATTTTGAATGTGGCTCATCAACGTTTTTAAAAAACTTATACATATCTATATTATGGAGAGTTCAGAAATATTTTTTAAAAAAGTTTTAGAGACATTTTCTGAATGGTTGTGAATATTTTTTTTGAATGGTACTTTAAATCATACTCTACATGAAGTGCATTGTAGAGAAATCAAAGTCTGTGTATGTTGTTATAAAACCCTACAAACAAAAAAAAAAGCAAGCAAGCAAACTATAACTCTTAATTCATAGAAAAAGAGAAACCAAATTTAAAAACTTACAACAATGTCAAACAAGTGAGGATGGAGTAATATCAGCTCCTAGAATAATATCTCTGATCTCCGATACTGTCAGATCCGATGCCTTCACGTTCTTCTTCTCTGCATAGTCAGTAACGATAACATCTCTTAGTGCTACTTCCACCTTCATCCATTGGTCATCACTAAGTGAGGGCCATACGTGATGCGCCTTAGTGACAACCGACTTGTCAGGCTTCAACAACATCTTAACCTTGTCCTTATCAACATCAACCGCACGTAGTATCAGAATAAGTCTCGAAAAGGCAGTAAACGGAGACATACTCTCCAACCAATCATCATAGATATTAAACAAAACCATCTCTGATTCCGTAGCCTTCAAAACCACATCACCGAACGTCTCAATCTTGAGAAAAGCCTGGAAGGGAAACTCCAGCTCGCTTACTCTGACAACAGTGTTTGGGAAATCCAGCATGTAAACCTCGAGTATACCAGACAGTCCTTCACGAGTAACAATGATCTGATTGGGCTGGTTTACAACGGGGAGAGGCCGCAAAAGTGAAGCAACCTCTTCAGAAGCTATGAACGGTATGAACTTCTCTACTCTCTTCCGACATGCCCAAACACTTGGATGAATAACCTTGAGGAATAGATGTCCGGTTTTTGGATTGAGAATAAAAATTGCACCGTTGACCGGTTTAGTTGTTAATTTTCCGTCAGACGTATTGTGAACTATGACATTATAGATATTGGTATCATCAACAAACCATGTTAATTTGGTGAATATTTCGTCATAGTTTTGAGATGACAAACATGGCTCCATAGGGTCCATCATCAGTTCATCTGTACCATGAGGGGGGGATAAGGGTATAGCATCGTTGTTGCTCGACATGGCTAGGGTTTTTTGAAAATCCAAACGCTGAACGGAGGTGTAATACACCCTAGAGCCTAGATCAATCGCAAAGAACTTAGTTGAGACTAATCGAGTAACAAAAACCCCTAAAACTTTTCTTCTGGTTGAGTCGCTTCTATTTTGTTTCTTTATCAGCGGGAACGAGTAGTAGTTTATATACAAAACTATAGGCGGTGTGCTATAAATTATTGGGCCTTCGCTTATGACAATTGGGCTTTAAATTATTTGCCCGTAGCCATTTACCTTACAATCGTTTCGTATATTTGTTGAATTGCTTTTTTTTTCTTTTTTCTACAATCTTCATCAATATCTAAATAATTTAAAAGAATCTTAACAGTGTTTTCACGTCGGATCCGGACTCGCGGTCCAACCGCTAAACCCAGTGATCCGATAAATAATCCAGTTTAAGTTTTAAGAAATATTCACTAATTAAAAATTTGATAAAACCCACTAAAAACTCTTTAACCCAGTGACCCGACTATCGATTAAATCATCGATTGAACCAATGAGTTATTTTTATTTAGTTTTTTAACTATTTTATTAAATATTTTTTGTGCCCAAAATAAGAAGTTAGATTTTTACTTTTTTATTTTTTATTTTGTTATAAAATTATTGTTTTTCGTGCTATAAAATATATTCTATATCTCTTTCATTTTTTTTTCTAAAAACCTTTTATTGATTTTGTATGTGGTAAATAACATTTGATTTTAATTTCTAGATTCTAACTTTTATCATATAATCTTCATTTTTATTCTAATACATGTTTTTATTTTATTTTCTTGATTTTACAGGTTTATAAATAAACAGTGTTTTTGTTAACCAAACTTATTGATCTTATTTAATTTTGAAACATCATATATAATATTAACTAAACCATTTATTGATTTTGATGAACATTACATTATGCCTCTTAAAAAAATTGAATAATGATCAATATCTAAAACTTATGAGATTTAAGTCTTGTTCTAATTTCCTATATGTCTCAACTTTTAATTTCTTATAAAAATTATTAAATAGTCTAATCTAATTTTAAATATTTTATATGTGAAATAAAATAACAAAAATATTTTCTATGTTTTAAAAAAACGTAAAGTTCCTCCTATATTTTTAACAGTTAATATATAATCACTTGTGGTTGATCCAATAACCCGGTGAACCGATAAGGTGTCCGGTTCAGTGTTCGAGTCGAGTTTAAAAACATTAAATCTTAGTAATAATTGTTCATTAAGTATTAATCACCTTGCTATTACCGGATTAGTTTGTTTGGAGCATAAGCTAAAAAAAGAAAACACAAGTGAACATCTTGTAATAAAAAAGAACAGCAATTGCAAGAAAATCAATATTGTGTTCAAGTCACTGCGAATTGTCTAAACCCCTAATAACGAATCCCAATTCCAACTTCTTAGGGTTTTTATCCAAATCTTCAATTTTGCTTCTCTTTTTTTGTTCCCTAATTTTGTATAGCGATTTTGCTTGAATGTTTATTCTCTCTGCAGAGTTAAAATGGCGGATGCGCCTTCGAGTCCAGCCGGAGACGGCGGAGAAAGCGGCGGCGGCTCGGTTAGGGAGCAGGATCGGTACCTACCAATAGCGAATATAAGCAGGATCATGAAGAAGGCGTTGCCTCCAAATGGAAAGATCGGGAAAGATGCTAAAGACACTGTTCAGGAATGTGTCTCTGAGTTCATCAGCTTCATCACCAGCGAGTATGTTTTGTTTCTTCTTTTCTCTCTGAGTTTTTAGCTTAGTAAAGTCTTTAACTTTTAATCTGAATTCTAATCAGGCAAAAGTGTTGGACTTTAATTCTTGATCCTGTTTCCAAGATTTTGCACATCGTTTGTCATGGAGAAATAAGTTAAATAATTTGTGAGGATTTTGAAATTATGTATTCATTCATTGTAGATAAGCTTAGCTAATAGCTCATGTGTTCTTTCTACTATTTGAAGTTTCTTTTAGGTCCAGAGACTGTCCTTTGGGATCTTTATCTGATCTTATGGTTGATTAGTGTGGATTGGTTGATTGTTATCTGTTTTATATTCTAATTTGGGAGTATATATTGATTGAGTTTTTTCTGGTAATGTCCCAGGGCAAGTGATAAGTGCCAGAAAGAGAAGAGGAAAACTGTGAATGGTGAGGATTTGTTGTGGGCAATGGCAACGTTGGGGTTTGAGGATTACCTTGAGCCCTTAAAAGTATACCTTGCGAGGTACAGGGAGGTATGTTACACTTGGCTTCTTAACCCTCTTTTTTTTTTTTTACAGACTGTTATAGAATTCAGACCACATTAGTTGTTGTTGTTGTTGTTGTTAATTACTTGATTTACATCAACCATGAGAGAAATACTTGTAATTTCTTCTATACTTGTAATTCAGTCGTTGCCAATGTATAGTTTTTTTAAAAGCAAGAAAGATGGATGTAGACTAACTCTATTAATCTCTCTCTGAGTTTTAAGCTTCTGCTACGTGAGACTGATTTGGTCTTTTCATTTCCATGTGTATGACTATGGTTGCTGAAACAATCCTGCTGATGCAGTTGGAGGTAAATTAAAATCCCATTTAAACTTCTTTATTTAAATGTTAGCCTTCCCAAGAGAAGTAAGTTCCATTTTTGAGTCACGAATTGGTGTTTTACATTTTGTTGTGAAATTATGACAGGGAGATAATAAGGGATCAGGAAAGAGCGGTGATGGATCTAATAGAGATGCAGCTGCTGGAGGTGTTTCTGGTGAAGACATGCCGGTATGATTTTGACTAATGTTTTATACCCTTTTTGTATGTTCTTTTGCTTTTGTTTCTTAACTCTGACTTCATTTACACAGAGCTGGTGAAAGAAGTTGCAAGTAAACTACAACTCCAAATGATCAAGTAATTTCTCTATCTCTGCCACACCATCTGTATCCATGTAGGTTTTATAATAAACTTACCTTAGTAAAACCATAAGTCTTATTGATAACTCTTTACTAACTTAGCAAGGTAAATCTTCTGGCTGATCAAGTTTTATTATTTATTGTTATTATTGTTTTATGAAGTTTTGTGGCTGAATCTTCTTACCCCCATTGCATTTTCTTAACCTTGTCATCTCATTGACGACGATTCTGGCTAACATGGAATTTTGTTTCTAAAATGTGTCTGTGCAGGTAAACTTAGAGATCAGTGTGTTGTTGACAATAAAGTTAGAGATCCGGTTTTTAGTTTGGTTGTAGTTGAAGATTTCTCTTAGATATGATATTAACTATTTGAAACAAGGAAAAAAATTTGTCCACAAGCTCTCATCTCTTAAAGCTTCGTTTATGGATTTCAAAAAAGTTGAATATGAACAGACTCAGATCTCATCACTTTGATCATCCATTCTCTTTTTTCTATAGTATAGTTTCCCTAGACTCAATAAAAACTTGAATACAAAGAAAATGCAGAATACAGTGTGGGTGGAAATTGAGATGCTTGTTTTGATTCTTAACTCACCCTTAAATCCATTTTTGGCTAAATCCAGTGTCTTGCTTGCATCATCTCCATGAACTCACTCTAATCTATTCCTCCATCCTCATCAAAAACCAACACACACTATTATATTTGCCACTAAAGAACAATGGTGCTTCCAAGTAAGCAAGATAAGATTTTAACTTAACATTGTCCTTTCATGAGAATGAGTAGCTTCAATAACACCAACGATGATCCTCAGATTTTCTCTCAGTGTAATGACCGCTCTGTAATAGTCTAACAGCTCTCCACCTGCACAAATCTCCATCACGACATGGACAGCTACTGCGTCTTCATAGACACCAACGATCTGGATCAGGTTAAAGTGTCCAGAAAAGGTGATGCATTATCTGCATCTCTCTTCTCACATCTTTTCACATCCTCAGGGGCCGACTGTTAATTTCCTCTTACTCTCTTTAGCTATCGTTTGCAAGCGAGTTCTTGACCTGACTTCTTATCCACGCAAAAGAAACGTTATTCCGAATTGTCCTTGACCTAACTTCATCCCCACGCTATATACTTCCTTGAGATTCTCTGTAGACCCAGCGCTTTCCATTCGTCTCATGTGCCTCTTCTTTCTTCGGCTTGGGACTTTTTTGTTGTTGTTCTGTGAGATACTTTTTTTTTATTTGTTTCTATAAATAATATCTCTATCAAAGCTTTTAGAGATCGTCGTTTCTCTCTGAGACAGAAACACACAAACCACTCAATAGCGCCATTGATCGTAGCTTTTTTGCAGCTTCTTCTTTCTTGCGCCGGAAGCAAAGTTGTAGAAAACATCATGAGCTGATGTTGATAAGGAGAATGAGGAGGAGGATGAGCCACCACTTGACTCTGGACTTGATGAATCCTGCTATGTCAGGACCTTTCTTCGTTAGCTCCTCAAGTAACATATCTCATCACACCATTGAAGCTGAATCACTTCTTTTCATACTTTGTTAGATGTATCTACTCGCATATGATTTTTGAGAACTTATGCTTATATACTATGTTACAATGACACTCTCACAAACAACGGTTCATATCTCTTATATTTCACTTGAAATATTCTCCAAACTTCATAGGTTAGATTCTAATTTAAATTTGACATATTCGAACCCCAGATTAGTGTTCCAAATATCACATTGTAAAAAGCACTGGTTTTAATTTCTTTTTCTTTTTAAATTCCATATCTGGTGACTAGTTGACACTAGAATTCTCAAAAACAAAAGCTAATGTTGTCAAATATTCAATTCTGTCATACTAAAACTACAATCATTACGTAGATGAAGTCTAAAAATGCCTATTTACTGTTAACCCACTTCTGGTATATTAAACATGATAAAAAAGAAAATTCAACAAGAGTATGAATGAAGATTCAAGGAAAGAAATTTATTCCATGCCTTTTCACTTAGCTGTAACAACATGTCTTCTATTAAAAATGTAAATTTAGTAAGACTATATGATATGTTGGAAAGAATCATGAAGCCTCCACTTTTACTTTTATGTTAAACGAACCTCTCC